CCTCCCTTTTACCCTTCCGATTCTCTTCCCCCTCCCACCGTGGGGGAATGAGCGAGCAGCTGCGTGGGGCTTAACCGGCTGGGGTTAAACCACGACAAGTGGCAATTAAAGTTGCTTGAGAAGAGCATTTATAAAAAGAACAGAACAGCTTACTCTTTATGTGAGATTTACTCTTTATGACCAATGAAACACCTTTTATCCAAGAACTTGAAACTCTGTTTCAACAGAATCTGTGGAGCTTCTTCTCTGTCAACCCACATCAGAGTATCTTCTGCAAAAACATTAAGAACTTGCTATTCTTGTGCGCTGCGGTTTTGGATGTGCGGTGAAGTGCATCTCCGGACAGGGTAAAGCACCTAGAGCCAGAAGCTGATGCTTCAAATTAAGAAGAAAACGATCTCCTAATTTAAACTGTATTACACAACCAAGTTTGGCATGCCATTTTCTCCCACATCAAGTTTACTTTAATCCTGAATTCCACTGTGTTCAACTTAATTATCCATCTAGTCATGTTTTTCGCTGCAATGCCAGGTCTTCAGAAAGCTCCTTCTCTCTCAATAAATCTGACAGTATTGCCTACTATTACCAACTGGTTTGCATTACAACAACAGAAGGTGGGTTTAATCAAGTATTTTGATACAGTAGCGCAGACTGAAGAGATGATGGGCCGTAGAAGTTACTCTAATTGGTACCACATGTGTCAAAAGAAATCAATCACGTGAACAAAAATCATTTCAGCTGACTTACCCAACCAATAAGTCCCAAAATAAAGGCCATATAATAAAATGTTTGAATTTTTATACAGTTATAACACATAAAACTAGATACAGAGCTACAGATACTGTAAAAGTAAAATGATCAAACATTTGAGAACTCAATCTGCAGATATGAGGATATTAGACTTGGATACTAGCATATTAAACTGGCTTTCTTCTCGTTTAGGTAAATCCTACTTTTTCAACAGTTATGGTTTCATACAATATCCTCAACTTTTCAGTAGAGCCAAATGAAATCACATGCTCAGTAGTAAAACTTTTAAGCTGGGACACAGTCAAGAAGAGATTTTCTGTAAGGATTTCTCAGCACAGGTTAAGTTCTCCTCTCAGCTACCAAGGTGCAGTTGGTGACAGTAAAAAAATGAAACATCTCCTGCATGCTAAGGGTAAATGTGATTGGTAATATAACACAGACTTGCTTAAGTTTCAGTCAAAACAGATTTTCTTTCTTTATCAAGAACTCATCATATAGAATCACAGAATAGTTTGGGTTGGAAGGGACCTTTACAGGCCATCTAGTCCAACCGCCCTGCAGTGAGCAGGGACATCCCCAACTAGAGCAGGTGGCTCAGAGCCCCGTCCAACCTGACCTGGAATGTTTCCAGGGATGGGGCATCTACCACTCTGGGAAACCTGGGCCAGGGTTTCACCACCCTCATTGTCAAAAATTTCTTTCTTCTAGATAGTTTTAGATAGATAGTCTAAAACTGCCCTCTTTTAGTTTAAAACCATTACCCCTTGTCCTGCTGCAACAGGCTCTGATAAACAGTCTGTCCCCATCTTTCTTGTAAGCCCCCTTTAAGCCCTGGCAGGCTGCAAGAAGGTCTCCCCAGAGCCTTCTCTGCTCCAGGCTGAACAACCCCAACTCTCCCAGCCTGTCCTCCCAGCAGAGTTTTCCAGCCCTCGGAGCACTTCTGTGGCCTCCTCTGGACCCTCTCCAACAGGTCCATGTCTCTCCTGTGCTGAAGGCTCCAGAGCTGGATGCAGGACTCCAGGTGGGGTTTCACCAGAGCAGAGCAGAGGGGCAGAATCCTCTCCCTCGCCCTGCTGGCCACGCAGCTTTGGGTGCAGCCCAGAACATGGTGCACATTGACAGCTCATGCCCAGTTTATAGGATTCAATGAATGTTAAAAAAGATAGTCTAAGCCAACATGGAAAACATTTTCACTCAAAGCAAATTCTTCTGAAGTTAAACGAATGCTGTGTCTGTGTGTGACCCCAAACCTCCAAATGGCATCTTTGGTCACCAGACCTCTGGAAACTAATTACCACCATCAGTTAAGAACTTCTAGTAAAGTACAAACAACAGTTATTTCTCTAATGCAATTACCATGAAATGTCATGAGCATAAAAGCTATGTTCTGTAACAAACATAATAAGCACAGCACTGATTTCAGGCAAAATGTTCAGGGATCTCCATTACATTAAGCAAATAACATTTTTTAAGAGAGTAACATTTTCCTCCTCCTTGAAAAGTTGTCATACTAGTATTACAAAGGATTACATTGTAAGTATTGTTTTCTCGCATTTCCCAATGAATACTTGGCTCCTTTAACTTGATTTCTCATGCACCATCTAGGCAATTTGACATGACAAAGGTCTAAAATATGAAACATTTTCCTGAAGGAGGTTATACCATTTTACACTACTGCCATGTCCATCTGGGACCGTGTTTGTCAAAAGTGATGTAAAATGTAACGGTGACATCACGTGAGCAAGCCTCACCAGAGAGGGCTTACCTTACCTTAATTAGCCCTGGAACCAGTCTAGAGGGACCAAGTTACTTATAATAATTCATTGTATTGTAGATTGCGTATAAATTGTTAATTATAATCTGATGATATTGAAACAATCAAAAAGATAAGAATTAAATCCAGGACAAAAATTAAAACATAATTTTCCCTCCAATGGTGAGACTATAATGAGGAAAAAACACAATATATTCCATCATGTTAATTCTACCTGTCTTCATATTCTGCTAATGATTCTATGAACACATTTGATTGTTCATATTTTATAATACATTGTTAAAATTTAAATATTTAACAGCAACTGGTATTACATATTGTGCCAATTAGTACACCTCAATGGAATAACTGCTTATAATTGAACTTCAGTGATGGCAAAAGCACTCAATTTTCTTCAAAGAACATTGTTTTTTCTCTTTACTTTTAAGAGATGTTTTTCTACATTATCATTATTGTTCTTATTATTACAGAAATTGCACTTGTTAACTCGCATGCCAGACCAGTGTGCAACTGCAGAAGGCACTGCATAGTCATCTGCCAAAAATGTGTCCTGACCATACTAGCTGCATGATTATTCTTCTCTAGAAGGTTTCATGACATTTCCTATCTTGAACTTTTCCATTTTACCCTCTGCTGTGCATAGTGGGAGGAGGAAGATATGAAATCCACGCTACCCCTTACAGAAAGGGGGGGGAGCCAGGAAACCCTTGACTTCTACACTCCAGTGGAAATTATTTGCCAAAGAAGAGAAGTGATTAATTCTAGCAGTTCCTTTCCCAAAGGCACACACACAACCTACCATGTGGTAGATTTCTATCTCTTGGTTAGCAACATATTTCCTTTTCACTTCTATGTCCTCCTTTCATTAGGGATTAGTGGAGATGCTATGAAAGCAGCCTACAAATATAGGCTGTGTCAGCAGAGAGGTAGCACTGCATGTTTTCATTTAAAAAACCCATCAGTGCACCCTCACAGCAAAAAAGGCCAACAGCATCCCGGGCTGCACCAGGCAGAACGCTGCCAGCAGGTCGAGGGAGGTGCGCTTTCCTCCCTGCTCAGCACTGGTGAGGCTGCATCAGCAGTACTGGGTCCAGTGCTGGGCTCCCCAGTACAAGCTAAATAAGGACCTACTGGGGCAAGTCCATGGGGACCATAAAGATGATTAAGGGACTTGAGCATCTGAGGTATAAGGAGAGCTTGAGAAAGCTGTGACTCTTCAGCCTCAAGAACAGACAACGCGGGGAGATGTTTTATCAGTATGTACAAATACCTGACGGGAGGGAATGAAGATGAGGGAGACAGACTCTTCTCAGTAGTTACCACTGACAGGACAAGAGGCAATGTGTGCAAGTTGAAATACATGAAATTCAATCTGAACAGAAGGAACCAGGCTTTAACTGACAAAGTGGTCAACCAATGGCACAGGCTGGCCAGAGAGCCTGGGGCCTGGGGAGTCTCCATCCTTGGAGATACTCAAAACCCATGCTCCTGGACAACCTGCTCTAGCCAACGCTGCTCAAGCAGCGGGGTTGGACTAGGGGATCTCAAGAGGCCCCTTCCAACATGAACAATTCTATGATTCCATATCAAAACAAAGTAAATCAACTCACTGCATCAAAATGTCTGATGCAGTGTCTACAGACACTGTCTGTAGAGCTAACTTCTGCACCTTATTGGAAAAGCATAGTATTAGCTAAACTGTCAACTATTTAATCAGGACAGCGACAGGAAGCTAAAAATGCTAAAAAGATTAGCGAAGCTGTGAAGGTACAAGGGACTTCAAAAGCAAGATACTTTGAGTATCACCATGCAGATGTCATGGTGATGTCTACACCACTGTAAGGAAAAAAAAAAAGCGATCTGCCAAGTTCTCTACATGAAATGAGTTTTGATTTAGTCCTGAGCAGTGCATCGAATGTGACTAAAATATGACATTTTACAGAAGGTGATCCTGGGAATTACAGACGTGTAACCATATCACTTCTTATTACATCTCCTAAAAATGAACGCGTATCAATAAACGAAGTGGAGCAGAAGCTGATGTGCTTTTCAAAGAGCAACAATCTGGACTGACAAATGCCTTTCAGTTCTTTAGGATTCAAAAGCATCTCAATCTAGATAAAAGCAAATAAAGTGAGACTAAATGATCATTTACATAATGGAAGGCAGCTCATTTTCCATCATGCTGGATCTCCATACTGGTATGTGAATCACTGAAGACTGAACAAAGTTGCAGCAAACTGAGCTGATAATTTAGAAGTATTCAGCATGGCTAAGCAAGAACTGAGCGTAAACAACTACAGAAAGATCCCATAATACCGAGTGATTAAAAAGGCAGAAGAAACATCAAATGTTCATAAATGCATGGAACATAAATGCAAGGGGGGAAAAATATTGCTATATACACACCTAAAACAATAGGCAGAAATTAGCAATTCACTCAAAAAGGTGCTTTTGAGAGCAGTTTTATGAAATCATGGATTTAATGCTTAGCATCAGTCAAAATGGAAAAAGGCTAAAGACCAATCAGAGAACGATTTCAAAACAAAACAAAACAAACAAAAAAAATCATCATTCAACTGCATAATGCCGTGGCACATCTGAGTGCTGAGGCTTGCTCCAACTAGTGTATCAGGACAACGTGGAACAACTCGGGAAGGACAAACGCAGAGATTACTACTAGTGACACCGATACAACCGCTGGCCCGGAACAGCCCCCTAATTCACTGAGCACCAAAAACTAGGAGTCACGCTAAGCAGCCCAAATTTCCCCCTGTGCCCTTCTCCATTAACACTCTCACTTTGGCAGCAACATAGTACCAGGCCACATGTGCTTTTGGTTAAGGCTCTTGCAAGCCGTTTTCCTATACTGACCCGTTACACCCATACCTCTCCAAACAGGGTAATATTTGCGCATGTCAAGTGGTAAAACGGCAAAGGTTTAAATGTAGCTTCTAAGAAGAAAGGATGAATAAAAAAACCCAAACACTTCTCTCTACATTATCCTGTTTACTGCTAGAAAATTGCCCAGTTTTCCGCTACTATATACTGTATAATTTTTTAAACTATTTATTTTTTGTGCCAGAGCCCACAGCCAAAACTGAAATTAAACAGAATAATAAAATGAGGAAATCAAAAAGACGGGAAGAGTTTGGGTGTTCATACTATTTGCAGCTAATAACGATATTAAAAACTCAAAAAATTACAAATTGAAATCCTGTAAGGTTTAAATCCGATTTTAAATTATTTTTGTTCAAAAGAATAAACAGACTGCATACTACTAGATTTGCTTGTGGCAACTGTTTCAGAATAAAGAATTTCAAGAATCCTTTGGCCTCTGATATACAACCCCTTTTATTTAACTTCATCTAATTGAAGACATCTGTAGTGGTGCCACACAAAATTTAATTCAAGCTTCGAAATGTCAATAAAAAGTGTCTGTAAGAAACAATACTGGTATAAACCTGGCAGGGAAGTGTGCATCAACATCTACATACCCATACAAAATTAAGAATATAATGGCAGTCTGCTGCCTGAGTTGACGAGGTGATAAAAGCCCTTTTCCTATAAAGTCTAATGAGCTCTATTACTCTTCAGCTTTCAGGAATGTAAAGGCCAGTGGACTCAGCAGAGAAAAGCAACCATCTCCACACATGGATTCATTCAAACTGCGACATATCAAATTACTAACATAATTACTATAACTTGACAATTTCATTACAGTCACGCGGTACTTAACTCTGAAGGACTAACAAGACAGTGCAAGAAATCCACAGCAGTTTGCTTACTTGACATGAAGCAACAGCATCTCTCCTAAGCTTTTAACTCAGACTGTAGTCAAATACCAATTCAGTAAGTTATTTAACAATACATTTTTTTCTTTCATAGAAATAAATGAAGAACAGAAAAGACACAGCATTTTCTACCACTGTTCCTTAATGCAGTGATATGAAATTCAGTGGTAGCTTATCACCCAGGAAAGAAACCCTCAGACTTAACAGTCGGTGATGATACAAATGTTGTGACACCCATCTATACCACCCATACCTTAATGGTTTGCTGTCTACAGTGAGTGAAGATGAAAGAATACATTCATTTCAACACTTGCATCTAGAATGAATACATACCTCCAGCGGAGAATCACAGAGGAATCGAGTGAACTGCATCGAGGTAGATGCATCAGAAACAAGTGCCCAAGAGGATAGTCCAAATATGCAAAGCAGAAAAGCAAGAAAAATATTAGTAATACTTCAGGATACATTAACAGTCAAATAAGCTCTTTCAAAAACACGTATTTGAAATTAAGATTTAAAACCAAATTTCCATAAACCATCTCCCACTTTCTATTTTGTTTAGAAGTACAAATAGGTCTAATAATTAACCAAAAAGTACTTCCTTTCTATAAAATAGAAGATGATATTTAAGAAGTGTGATGCAAAAGAATTACCACCTTGTAATACAGGTCTGTTCCTGGTGTCTTTAATTCCAAATTACACATTACCCTCCTCTGTGACTGCTGCAACAGGGAGTCTTTTCCCACCATTCTGTCGGTACCTGCCCCATCACTAAAAGCAAGAGGGTTAGGGCCCTCATATCTCTTATTATAAATTAAGTCTATTTACATTCAAAATCATAAGCAAGACTGTTTTAAGTCTAAGAAAGAGGAAGAAGGGGGAAAAAAAAAAAGTCAACTTCCTGAAAGTGCAAGCATTTTCAAAACTCAATTCTTTACTCAATACAAAATGATGTGCTGCAGATAATCAATCAAAAAGGCAAGGTTTTAATGATCTGGAGCTTGTTCAAGATTCTAAGGGTAATAAAATATAACAGTTATTTATTTAGCATCATTTACTTATTTAATACAAATATTTCCTTATTGGTGGATTCCACATTAAACATGTTATAAGTTCTGGTATGTATTTAGCCCCCAAACATTCTTTTGTTAAAAAGCTAGTATGTGTTACAGAGTTTAATTATTCCTCTTGTAATAGCTGATGGATGATTTAGTAAGTCAGCAGTTCACAAACTGCACAGTAGTAGTAAATAGGAACTTTCAGTTAAAAGTTTGATAAAAAGAACATATATATAAACACCTGCAAAAAGCTGTTTGTTGTCAAGATTTTGTTGTCAAGAATTCTATGGATTTCTGAGATTAATTAAAGAAGATTATTCTATTTAAAGGGGAATACAAAAAAAGTGGTGATTACTTGTCAGTCATCCTATTTTTCCCAGAGAAGAGGAGGAGAGGAAAGCAGGCAACAATAAAAAGTGGCAATATTGTATGTTGCTGACTTAGGACAGCGTTCCATGTACAGCCTGAGTAATTAAAACTTCCTCTTTTCTTCAGAAGGTGCTATAAAGCAGATTTCAGAAATAAAAACACAGCCTCTGGTAAAGATATGTATCGATCTGCAAACACTAACTGGACCATTCTCGTTGTAGCTCACAGTGAACACAACCTTAACCTTCTCTAAGACTGTGGCTCTAAGAAAGTGCAGCTGTTGATGCTAAAAGAATCAAGACTTCGCCGAAATTGTATTTCGGGCTCTTCCCCCTCAAACACACAGGAGTAGCTGGTCTACGGATGAATGGGAAACCTACAGAAGTTGTATTTCGGGCTCTTCCCCCTCAAACACATACGAGTAGCTGGTCTACGGATGAATGGGAAACCTCTGCACACAGACTTTATGGAAGATCACTGAATTTCTATAAGGTGCTAGAGAAAACAAGGGATTGCGTACTTCCTATAATTAACCATTTCAGGACAAGTGACCACCACTTTAGAGTTTGGGAAAAAAACAAATGACTGTGATACCTTAATTAAATTCTAGAATTGGTACTGATTTGGTAGAGAACAAGAGGGGAAAAAAAAGCCCCACCAGATAATACTTAAAGAGAGAAGTAATTGAAATTTTGAATTATTGAGTTTTGTTCTCATAAAAAAAGAACAGAGTCACAAATTCCTACACTGCGAGTGCATCAGTCCTTACAGCCGGTGATTTTAGAATGTGTAGGCTTCAGAAAAAATAAACCATGTGTTATTAATTTTCATGTCAAAAGACCCCCAATAGTTCTTAACCTGTAACTTTAGCTTTATACTGCAAGTTAAACCCCATGGGTGAGAAAACTGAGCCAATGACACTTTTCAAATAGTTTTACCCATTCTCTAGGCCCTGCTGTACAATTCCTTGGCTTTAGGGTGAGGGGGGAGTTTTTAAGTGTACCTGAGCAAAACTTCTGCTTCCTAGGGCCTGTATACTGTTGCAACTATCTATACTGCTGGCTAAAAAAAAAAAAAAAAAAATCCTCAACTTCACTTGAATTTGTATCACAATCTTATGGGGGGGAAAAGAAAACATTGCAAGTCTTGTTACGTATTATTTCACCTGTTGATACTTGCTACAATTCTCAGGTTAGATAGTTTTCTTAATCAAGTTCTAAAAAACTTCAGAAGACTCTGAATCTTCTCTAGAAGCCGATTAAAAAGAAGTTACTCCCAAAAACAACATTTTTTTGTTGCGGGTTTATTTTATTTAAAGGAAGAATTTAATTGGCACATTGAGCTGAAGAATTTAATAAATATTTTAGATTTACTGACCTCTGCTGTTATCTTCTCAACCCTTACTCTCCCTTCCCACCCCCAAATTCACACCACTTCTGTCATAACCTAGGAATATGCAGTCTATACATTTACTTCAGTATAAACAAATGTAAGATTCCGTTTCTAAATTAACAAACTTATTTTAATACTGCAAGATTATGAACACAATTCAAAAATCATTCAACAAACCATGGAAGTGTTATATGCAAAATAAATCAGTCACGCAAGCACATTTAAAATTCCTTTCGAAGTCCTGCTTTTCTAATTTTAGTTTCAAACTGAATTACATAAACCTTAGTCTTTTAAAAACTATATAATAAAATCCAAAACAGTGTTACTTTGGCACAAACTAATTACAATTGCCGAAAAGAACCAACAGAACAACAGGAAGTGCAAACGTTATTAATAACACTAAGAGAGGAACACATCGCTGAGAATTACATCACTGACAATTACATCAAAGGGGGAAAAGAAGCAGATAAAGGAAAGGAAGGTTTGGTTCAACCCAAAGATATCTGGTCAAGTAAAAGCAAATGCACAGCTTTAAAAAGCTGTAAAAAAACCTAGACCGTTAACACCTACTTCCGTTAACAAGTGGGGGGAAGATATACAGATGTTTTGGATGCCAAACCAGAACGAGTTCCACAGGTAGCTCAGTAACTTTGTGGAAACGAGGGTTATGAAGGGATAGAGAGCAGCCCTGTCAAGAAGGACTTGGGGATCCTGGGGGAGGAAAAGCTGGACATGAGCCGGCAATGTGCGCTCACAGCCCAGAAGGCCAACCATCTCCTGGGCTGCACCCAAAGCCGCGTGGCCAGCAGGGCGAGGGAGGGGATTCTGCCCCTCTGCTCTGGTGAGACCCCACCTGGAGTCCTGCGTCCAGCTCTGGAGCCCTCAGCCCAGGAGAGACATGGACCTGTTGGAGTGGGGCCAGAGGAGGCCACAGAAAGGCTCCAAGGGCTGAACAGCTCTGCCCTGGGTACAGGCTGGGAGAGCTCAGCCTGGAGCAGAGAAGGCTCTGGGAAGACCTTCCTGCAGCTGCCAGGGCTTGAAGGGGGCTTAGAAGAACGATGGGGACAGACTGTTTACCAGGGCCTGTTGCAACAGGCCAAAGGATAATGGTTTTAAACTAAGAGGGCAGTTTTAGACTAGATAGAAGGAAGAAATTTTTCACAGCAAGGGTGGTGAAACCCTGGCCCAGGTTTCCTAGAGAGGTGGTGGATGCCCCATCCCTGGAAACATTCCAGGTCAGGTTGGACGGGGCTCTGAGCTACCTGCTCTAGTTGGGGATGTTCCTGCTCATGGCAGGGGGGTTGGACTAGATGGCCTGTAAAGGTCCCTTCCAACACAAACTATTCTGTGATTTTATGTCATACAATGACATCATAGCCTTCTCAGGAAAAAACGGTTATGAAATGTCATCATCAGTAACTGTAAACTTATCGGAGATCTTCAGTGTGAAGACATCACATTAATATTCTATTCACATCCATTTACAAGGAAAGATGGTGCCAAGCTACCCCGCTACCATCGAAGCGGGCAACATACTAGAGCTAAGTTAGCAGAGGAATCAAAGGCTTATTTCAGGGCTGGCTCTATTTCCCATTTTCAAGGGCTACTTACAGAAATATAGGAATGCTACCAAAATATGGTTGCAGAAATATCCACAGACCCGAAGGTGAAAGAAGAGCCTTGAAAACCTATTACATAAGGAAAAGGGGGATTTAAAGTTTAAATGCACATCTCAAATGTAGTTTTCAGTACAAGAATCGGACTAACGAAATAGAAATAACTGCCGATGGGACAGAACATGTATTTCAGAATGTCGTGGTTTACCGTTCAACCAGGACACAGAATTACAATTTCAGTTCCCTTATGGAGTGACAGAAGTCACTGTGGCTTTGTCTGCTCAGAAGAAACTTACTCTCAGAATAATGGAGATTTGTCAGTCTTACGGTAAAGTTTTTTTAATTTTAGATGGATTTATATAGAAAACTCAGTGTCAAAATCAGGAAGAACAATGTAAACTGTGACACAAAAAGAATCTGAGCTGAAACAGTATGACTGCGGACAAGTTACTTTATTGTCTGGATGCCTAAATTCTTTGGGTCTTATAGGCATTTCAAGAATAAAATCCCTGAATCCACGGCACTACAGTCACAGGGGCCACACAAGTAAGCAGAAGGAATCAGGCTGATACAGAAGTACTCGTTCCACATCTTTAAGTCTGCGTTATCAGAGATCTGAAACACAAGCTCATTGCAGCGAGACGTTTTGCCCCAGCAGCCGCCGACCACGAAAAGCCAATCATCAGATTAGCACCGCCATCAACCCAAATGCTAAAAGAACTAATTCAAGAGCATTATAAAAACGTATGGCTGCCGAGGCAAGCTACAGAACGTTAAAAATAACCACAAAGGATACTGATTTTTTTTCCAAGCATTCTCTCACTCAAAAGAAAAAAAAAAAAAAAAAAAAAGGAAAAGAAAGAGGAAATTAGGCTAGAGAGACCTAAAAGTTTGCAACTGGCTGCTGATACCAGCTTTCGAATTGACCGGA